ATTTAAATCAAATGCTCTTACATTTTTCTGGACGACATCTAGTTATTCTTCTTTGCGAAATTAAACGTAATTTTCATTGGCTGAGGGAGCTTTCTTTAAGGGAGTCGGTACTCCCTTAATAATTGACTGTAGTTATTTGCACTTTACTTAGCAAGTTGTACCTAATGTCAGTTAGTACGTAGATAAGTAATGTAGCTAAGTATCTACTCATCATCAAAGGTAACTAGTTACATAATGGGCAACAAAAAACACGTCAGAGGACATAGACATCAACAATAATTACCTTTACGACCATGCAATAAATTGTGGTTTCATTTGAATCACATCAATGACCAGGAGCTCAATAGTGGATTGATTCCCATAACACAGGCGGGGTCAATTTCCGAACACACCCGCATACTGTCCCATCAAATATTTCAAGCGATTTTCGGCCTTAAAGTCTCGGTGAAAAGATACAAGGATAGATATAAATGTGTAATTTATCTTTGTAAAGTTTAAATAATGGTCTCCAACGATTCTCTTCTCCCCTTTTTGGTCGTTGATCATGCAATTTTTCAATCTGTTTCGAATTGCCGTTTCGTGCGCAGTAGCTATTTCTTTGGGTAGCTAGGTGCCTATATTTTGCGCTTACTCACTTTTACCGTTTGAAATAATGGTCAGGTAAGTAGGTATTTTATTTGGTGTTTAGCGTAACCTCGATAAGTTTTTATGTTAGGTGATTATGTGACAATGACTAGTCTTAGCACTTACTCGAGTTGCTGGCCGAGATTTTTGTCCGAATGTTAAACAAAGAGGTCGGTATCATAGAGATGTTTTTAACTTTTTTTGCATTCCGTTGTTAGTTTTTAACTTCTTATCTCTGCTTCCGTTAACGGTATAACTTTGACTATTTACAAAATACCTATCAAGGCATTTTTAAGGGACCTCATTTATTAACGCTCAGGAAGTAGGTCCCTAATCCGAAACATCAAAGATAACTAACTAAAGCAAAAATTATAAAATAAGAATAAAGTTATAGCAGGCACTTTATAATAGTAGGTTGTATTTGTATCTACCTACTTACGCAAATAGATATAATTATTAGAGGCCAAAATAAAAGTAGGTAAGTCAAATTGCTTCCTTGTTAAAAGGCACCTACCTACCAACTTATTGTAATTAATTTGTATGATACGTAGGTAAGATACGACTATTTGTACATAAAAATTAATGATTTAATAACTAATTATACGAACCTACCTTAAACACAAAACAGCAGAATAAATGAATGAAATAAACCTATTTCTAAGTACCTACAACTTCAATTGAATGTGATAAATATAAGAAAAGGAGCAGGTACCTACCCGCCTTGTGCTCTGTAATTACCTAATTAGTACTACCTACTAGAGCTACATAAGTAAAATTACCAGACCTGTGCTAATAAAGAAAAATAGTGTAGGACCTTTATCTACCAGCCTCACATACAAATGAGTTAGGTACATGACTGCATACACTTTTGAAAGAAGAAAAGGACTAATAAATAAATAGGCATCTACGTGGTTATTTTGCTTAATGCATAAAGATTTAATTGTTATTATTACTCACTAAATCATGCAAAATCCTTCGCAAGCGCAGCTGTAACTTTACCATGAGTCCATGAGTAACGATTGATTATTACGCTCGAAAAATTCCAATCTTATCAGTAAAATAGTCACTCACCATTGACAATGAACCTATGTCTGTCGTTCATAAGCTCCTTCGATAGTTTCGGACATTCCTTGCTTAGAACTACACACAAATCATTTAACTTCACACCGCTTTGTTTACTAACAATCTCAATAAAGTAATTACACTTATCACTGTCATTTGCACCCGTTATTATTTCGAACTCATTCAAATTAAGTATTCCTTTCTTAACCAACACGTCTAAAATATTTGTATCGCATAATTCGCGTAATAAAATTTGTTTGTGTCGCAGCAAGCCGGCACAAACGTCCCCCACCGCAGCCATCGTTCAACTAAACAAGTACAATGAAAAAACTTCCATTCATTCCCCCATTCAAACTTCGAACAGATGCGTACATGTAGGCATGCTCCACTTGGGTACCTTACCCTTGAAAATGGCGCCTGTTTTTGGGATATTTTGTCCCTTTCTTACTTCTTATTGTTAGAAAGAGAAAGCTTGTAGTTTGATAAGAAGTGATGTGAGTTCGATGGGATTGTGAGATAGTGACTGGGAGTTTGAACTTGGTTTACTTACCAAAGATTTTAATTAACTGAAAAACTTAACGTTTAGAATCGAAATTTACACAAACTTTAATTTTAGATGATTGTCATTTGTGATATTAAGAAATATAGGTAGGTACTTAATAACATCGAGAACAAACTGTTTGTTAAGTAAATAGGTATGGTTAGATATATGTTATAAGTAAATTACTGATAATGTACACACGGCTACACATCGAGCTTTACATAACCAGTATAAACTGAACGTTAAATGTGCGGAACGATGATGCGACGCAACGCCAGGATAAACTGGTTTTGTATAGATTGATGTGTTGCCGTGTGTACAATGGTTTCCTCCTCACTTGATAATGTCTATTTACTTCCGAGTCAGTTCCGATTAGTGAATTATTTTTAACTGTACCTACTTATATAAATAAATCAATTAGGTATTCCAAAAAGGAATAGAACCTATCATTATCATATTATAGAGGTAGTAAACGGAATCAATAAATGATGGTACACAAAAAGGTTTGTTAACTAAAATCGCGGGTTACTCACGTGAATATACTGAGAAAAGCTCTACTAGTTTCGAACCACGTGAGTAATTCTCTATTTTAGTTAATTTAGTAGGTATGTCTCACGATAGTTATTACATAGTAGTTATAAAGAAAACGCATAGATACTATGGCGCACACATATAAGCCTCGCGCGGTGCATTTGTATGAAGATAACCTACTTCCCTTTTCTTTATACTATGGTTATTATAAAAAGGCTTGTTACTTATAGTATAGTCGTGTGGTCGCAATAGTGAATACCGAACACGAGGTTTTGAATCTGTTCTCAAAATTCTCAGGTAGCTATTCCTGAGAATGATAGTACTGTTTTAAAAATAACAGTCACTCTACTCGCCTCATGTAGGTACTTATTTATTTCTTACTAGTTTTTTCTAGCCGCCTCGGTGGGCAAGGGGTCTCGGGTTCGATTCCCGGGTCGGGAAAAGTTTAACTGCTTTTTTTTAATTATCAGTAGTAGCATGGAGTCTAGAATTGTGCCGAGTATATAGCAATAGGCTCACGCCCTATTACATGGCGAAAAATAGTGAAAATTGGGTGTTACATTGCAGTGGCACTAAGTGCCCTAATGTGCACCTCTGCCTACACCTTCAAGGATAAAAAAGGCGTGATGTTATTTTATTTTTTTACTGCTTCGCAACTACTTGGCCTATGCTTTAAAGAATAACGGCTACGCCTATGCCTATGATTTGAAGACGATTTCTTAAGTAAATAAAATAGTGTAAAGAGGTACTTAGGTACTTACAAACAAATTCACTTTCGCATTTTTATAGCATAAGTTGGGATTTCCAAGTGCAAGCGACGTGAGATAAATTAATGTCGTATGCAAATTGTAAATGCTACAAAGTGAGAGGATTGCAAAATGCAACCACGGTCAGTATTATTCGCAGTGGCGTAGCGTATAGCTTGACAGGGCCCCGTATAATTTTTTTTTAAATACCGATATTTTTTTCCTGTAATCAGTACAGAGAAAAACAACAGAAGTAGAGGGTATCAGAATGTCTAGTGTCTCTATTGTTACCGAATACAATTTCCGATTAAGAGCGATATTGTTAAGAGCCTTTGAAATCTTTGTCAGTCTACAATTGTATGTAGTGTGCCCACCTAAATTGTACGACTTCTTTTATCTGCTTTTTTGTATTCTGTGGAGAATGTCGTTGGTTATACATTTATTCTACATATACTTTGATATTTGTTATACTGTATTATTGTAGTGTGGAATTGTTAATTTTCCCAAATAAATAAAAAAATAAAATAAAAGTGTAAAAAATCTACAATCATAAGAAAAAAACCCGTGAAATGAAACAGACATAGCGACATGAATGACCGTCTCATTCCGGATATAAATAGACCAAGTCTATTGCTCCCCCGAGGGTCGTAGCCGAGGGCGAGGGATGAAATCTGAGTGTTCATAAAATAAATATCACCTGCGAATTGGGTAATGAACTATTTACTATACATGGAATTGCACTAAATAAGTGAAATAAGTGCTAACACTTATGTAAAATAAGCAAATAGGGGTGAAGATAGTGTACGAAAATGAAAACATCCGGTTTTCGTCCGTAATTTTTGTAATTAATTAAGCTAGGAGCGAGTTTAGGTTTCGTCTCTTGTGCTTGTGCATTACTTCGACTATACGGCAGTGAGAGTAATCGTGTCGTCATGTCACGGGTTCGATTCCTGCTCGGTGCAATCCTTTGTGTGAGCCAAAAATTTTTGTTCCGATTCTGGCAATATTTATATGAAATTATTTATTTGTAAACGCACCCGTCGACGTAAAGCAAAAAAAAAGAAAATTATAGATTTTAGGTTCATTATTACATTAGAATTGGTTGTAATATTTTGTTTGTAAATGTTATGTTACCTAGTTATTAACAAAATATCAACCAAATTACCATTTGTTTTAATAACAAGTAGTACAATTAGGTTGTAAAAGATTTCACATCGGCAAATGAATTCAAAGCGAGTCTTACTCACCCTACCTACCCTACTAAATAACCTGGTATTCCGTACTGCTTTAAAAAAGTTAACAATTCGTTTTTGTCATCTGTGGTCGTCGTTGTCAATGTCATTATGTATTGTTTGACGTTACTATCGTTGGCATCATAACCTATTTGTTATTTGTGTAACTTACTATTTTTCATTGAACATTTTGCTAAATATAGCTCAATTAATGTTTACACACTAAGTAAATTACATTAGTATTATTTACACTTGGCTCATAAAATGGCGCCAATAGTGAAGAATTCATTAGATGGTAAGTACGTGAAAAGTCATCCAAAATTCAGTTGGATACGGACTGGTATTACAACTTTCATGGTATTTAATCTGAATATTTACTATTAGTTCAACTAAATTAATGTTGTAAATGTAAACAACTAGTTTAGACAGACGTTATTATTGTAGTGATAATATAAATTGCCTTTTCATTCTTGTGATACTGTCATGTAAACATTAACATAATTTTGCTTTTTCCAGACACAGATTCAGGCTCAGATTCTGATAGTGGGTCAAGTGCGAGTCGCAGTAAGAGTCCCAGCCCTGCGCCTGGTAAAGAAGGCAGCCAATCGAGGTAAGGTTCTAAACCTAAAGTTACAATAACAGTTGCAACAGGTTAATAATAAGTAACTCACCATTTATAAGAATTTTTATTCTTGATGAGCTCTCAAATCCTTTGCATACCTTTTGCTACACTCCAACCAGTGTATGGTTGTTTGTTTACTATTGTTATGTCCCTGACATGGTATTCTGGTGAATGAGGGGCAGTTATTGTGGTATTTTATGTCTGTCTATGCAACTGAAAGGTTACAAATTGCAATTTTAAATTGCCTATTTTATCCACACATCTTACTCGATCTCTTAGCATTGAGGATAATGATGATAAGTATCTATCCAAGAAAAATATTAAATAAAACATATTATGTACCTAGTTAATTGGAGCCTATTATAGTGGTAATAAAAATGGTAAAAAAATCTGACTTTAAAAATTTAAAATGTTAACATTTGTAAATCAGAATTCCAAAATTAGTTAACTCCTAACTTTAATTTCAGATCAGTATCTCGCAGCCCAGCAAAATCAGGAAGTGAGTCTCCTAAATCCAATCGCTCCGCCAACTCCAGGAGATCTTCAAATGCATCCAGAAGCAAGTCTAACTCACCAGCACGCTCTAACAGATCTCGTTCAGGGTCTGCGCAAAGCAATAAGTCTGGATCATCAAGATCCAATGCTTCTGGTAGCCCTAAACAAAGAGCTTCAAGGTCCAGAAGTGGTTCTCGAAGGTCTCGGTCAGGTTCAGCAAGTGGCCGGTCCCGATCAGGTACCCCTAAAAGCCGTTCAGCTAGCCCAAAGTCAGGACCACAGAGCCCTAAGTCCAGATCCCAGTCCCCAAAATCAAGATCGCAGAGTCCTAAATCCCGTTCACAAAGTCCAAAATCAAGGTCGCAAAGTCCAAAGTCTGGCGCTAAGAGTAGGTCTAGATCAAAGTCTCCCAGTGCAAGTCCTAAGAGTAGAAAGTCTAGATCCAGGTCCGGAAGTGCTTCTTCCAAGAGTCCAGCAAGGTCTGAAGCACATGACAGCAGGTCTAACTCTCCGGGGCTCATGATTGATGATGCTCAGACTAAGGAAAAGTCGAAGAGTCGTTCCAGGTAAATATTTTTGTATACTAATATACTTTAATTGGGTACTTGCCAACTAGTTAAATTCAACTATATATCATTGACATTAACTAGTCAAATTCAATACTTTTTATTTAAACTGTCAGAAACGATAGATTTCTATGAACTTTGTATGAGATTGTGTATTGTGATGCCACATTTTCATAGCGTCAAACAGCATACTTATTTCTTAAAAAATTGCATGAAAAATACTAAAATGAAGTTGGTCATAACATCAATTAATGAAAGTGTAATTAGTTTTATAATATGGATTGAACAGTTGAGTTTATTATGACGTGTACTATATCAACAGTATAGTTGTAACATCAGGTTAAAAGGTATTTGTAGCATATGTGGCTATATTCATTTCTTAACGACTATTATTTCAACACCTTACAGATCTGGGTCGAGACAATCGAAATCAAAAAGTCGTTCCCGATCACGGTCTAAAAGCTCTGAAGCTGATGTCGGTGAGTATTTTTTGTTACACATACAGATTGTAGAGATAAACCTTCAAAAGAGGTAAACCTTCTTGGTTCAATTTGCATGAAGAATTTACAATAAATATATATATACTTACACATATAGACTGCTTCGTTGACCGAGTGGTCGCAAGTGCGGCTGCCGGGCAAGGCGTCTCGTGTTAGATTCCCGGGACCAGCCAAAGTTACCGTGTTTAAAAAAATCTCAGTTGTAGCCGTAGTCTGGAATTGTGCTCGGTATTTGGCAATAGTCTCACCCATTACATGGGACTCATAACATAAATATTGAAAAGTGGGTGTTACATTGTAAAGTGGCAATAACTGCCGTAATGTGCACCTCTGCCCTTCAGGGATAAAAAGTGTGATGTTATGTTATGTAATATATAAAATTATTTTTAACAATCTATCTTAAACTGTCAAAAACCAAGCGGTCACCGGTGACCGCGACCCATTGTTCTTTAATTGTGTCTATAAAACCGGTACTCGACGAGTTAAGTAGTATCTAGTGTCGAGAAATATCGCGGAGAACCTAACGGGTAACCGGGGCTCCGGCTCGACATGCAGGAGAAGGAACGGGGTGGTTTTTAGTCAGTAAGAGTCCGACACTCCCTCCTGCTTCACCCAGGCGGGAGCAGTCATTCAAAAAGTGTCGAGAAATCGCAATAACTACTATCAAGCACAGCAGGTCTTATTCGATGCCGGATTGTGTAAAGCGTTATTTGGGTTCCAATGTATTGTAACTAACATACCATTTCTGTTCATAAAAGCTGATGTAATGTAACTTCTCCTATAATTCCAGGAGAGAAAAAGAAACGTGCAGTGCTCTCCGACTCGGAAAGTGATGGCGGTACAAAAGCTACTCCCAAACGTAAGAAGGCAGGTTCCGACAGTGGCTCAGAGACCAGTGACAAACCTAAGAAGAAATCCAAGAAAATTGTGGACTCTGATGATGATGAGGAAGGGAAGAAGGAAGAGGGAGATGGAGGTATGTTTTGTAAAGATTATTTATAAATTAACCAGTTTCATTGGTTGAATAGTCGCAACCATGATTGGCCAGCCAGTCACGTTAAGTCAAAGGAAATACTCTGTTGACTTGTGTTGCATTAGAGCTCTTTTGGTTTTGGAATGTATTGGATTGAAATGTAATGAAATTTGGAATACATGTAGCTTTCTTATAGCAAAATATTTATTGTAATTAGTTTACTACTTTTTAAGTTTATTTGTTACATCCTAAAATACAAAATGTATTTGTATTAATTATGTTTTAAATTAAGTTTTATATAAGTTTGTATAAAATTAAAACGATTACTAAATTAAATATATACAACTTACCAAGAATTAAAAGAAAACAAAAACAACTATTTACATAAAGCATAAGTTAAGTTTTCATTTGAATAAATGATAATAATATAATTTTAGTTTATATTAAGTTTTAGATAAGTGAAGATAACATTAGTATAATTATGTAGAATTGATATTGTCTTTAGTAGTCGGTCAGCAGTTATGCTGGCATCTTGTACTCAATTCAGGGTATACAATTTATAATTTGAAACTTTTATGTAAGTAATAAAAAAGCGGACGTAATAACATTTATATTTATTTTATTACAGTAACTGCGGACGCGCTGTTCGGAGACGCGTCCGACATAAGTACAGAAGATGAGGGCGGAGCTGACAAAGCGTCAGAGAAGTCTCGGTCTCGCAGCCGGTCGAGGAGTCGCAGCCGTAGCCGGAGCCCCCAGGAGGCACGGCGGTCCGGAGACGAGGCCAGGGCTAGTGGAGATGAGGTAAGAACTGCAAGAGTTAAGTTTATGGCTGGTTTTGATGAACTAGGAGTATTTTCTGTGGCTTTATACCAATTTGTTTTGCATTTGGTATTGGTAATGTATTTTTCTTTTATGTAATCTGGTTTTCAAAATAAAAGTGTAGAAATAGACAAATATTTGGAGTCTACTGAATTTCAGCATTTATTTTGAGAGACTAGCTGCATTCGCTAAACGTCATTCGTTGGTATCACATCACAGTATTCTTGCAGCGACTTGTCATATCATGTCACAATTATCTTTATATTCTTCCAGTATCATACCTTCTTTCGGTCCTTATTTAGCGATAAAAACAATAATTTAAACTAGTTGCAAAAGTCTAATCAGTCAGTCTATACCTAAAACGCAAGATGAACAAACATTTCAAACGCACCACTTATTTTCCACAGCAGGAACCTCGTGAAAAACCAGAGGAAGAGGAGGAAGTTGAGATTCCGGAGACCAGGATCGATGTGGACATGCCTAAGATATGGACTGAGTTGGGCAAGGAGCTGCACTTCGTGAAGCTGCCTAACTTCTTGTCCGTGGAGACTAGACCTTATGATCCTAATACATATGAAGATGAAATTGATGAGGAGGAAACCCTTGATGAGGAAGGTCGTGCCAGGTGAGGATACTTTGATGTACTTATAATCTTAGAACGATACAGGGGGGGGGGGGGGCAGGGGGCGTACTAAAATAGATAAGGAGTTTGGCCTGATGGTCAAGAAGTTTGTACATGGTTAAACAACTTCTTACATGAAAAAGTGTATGAAATATTTTATGTCGTGACGTTACTATGTGATGTCGGTTAATAATACTGGCTGTAGCCACTGTTTGCCATAATTTCCACGGTCCGCAGATTTTTGTAAGAGAACACTGCCGTTTAGTCTCTGTCAACTTTACTGTGTAGCCCCTTTTTTAAGGGGGGAAATCATCGAATGACTGCTCCCGCCTGGGTGAGGCGGGAGGGTATCAGACTCTTACTGACTAAAAACCACCCCGTTCCTTCTCCTGCACGTCGAGCCGGAGCCCCGGTTACCCGTTAGGTTCTCCGCGACACTGTGTAGCCCCTTAGCCCTCTTTTGCGACACTCACATGAAGATAACAGGCTAACAAATTATACTTTTTCAGATTAAAATTGAAAGTGGAGAACACGATGCGTTGGCGCACGGTATTCGACAAGGAAGGTAACGCGGTAAAGGAGTCCAATGCGCGCATGGTGAAATGGTCTGACGGTAGCATGTCACTACATCTCGGGTCTGAAATATTCGACGTTTATAAACAACCTCTACATGTAAGTACCTTCATCTTTACCTATAAAGTGGTGGATAAGTGGTAGGCAGAGGTGCACGTTATGCCGCTGTACAATGTTACACCTACTTTCTATATATGTTATGAGTTCCATGTAATAGGGGGTGAGCCTATTGCCATATACCGGGCACTATTCCAGACTCCGTGCTACTACTGAGAATTTTTTTAAAACCCATTAATACTTTGCCCTGCACGAGAATCGAACCCGAGACCCCTTCCCCGGCCACTTGCAACCACTCGGCCAACGAGACAGTCTTTTTTTACTTAGTCCTTGTTTTGTACTTAGGTTAAATTCTACTAATTCCTTCAAAACATTACATACAATTTATTTTTGATGCGGACTGCCGCGAGTGAGTTTACCACTAGTATCGAAAGGTTTGTCCAAAAAACCTGCTAATAAGAAGTCATTGGACATTCAGTTTTTGATAGTTATAAACATGATCTCATACTCATACATGATTTTTCTCCTAAAACACCAAACATTTTACTCTAATCATAAAATTACCTGATAAACTATGTTCGTTACAGGGCGACCACAACCATCTATTCGTCCGCCAAGGTACAGGTTTACAAGGGCAAGCAGTGTTCCGTACGAAGTTGTCCTTCAGGCCTCACTCTACGGAGTCCTTCACCCATAGGAAGATGACTCTGTCTCTCGCTGACCGGTCTACCAAGACCTCTGCTATTAAGATTCTATCACAAGTTGGAGCTGACCCTGATGCTGATAGAAAGTATCAGTTGAAGGTATGTAGTTTGAAATGTTTTTATTTATGACGCGATTTTGGTAATAGCGATAATTAATCAGTCAAAAATCGTATCATTCAACAATATAGTAAATATTAAACAATGAGCACGCTTCATGATTTGTTTTGACAATGTATTTAATACTTTTTTCTAGCTTATTTGTAAGAAATAACTTGCTATCACGCCTTTTACCCCCGACAGGGTAGGCAGAGATGCACATTATTTACGACACTTAATACCACTGCACAATGTAACACCCACTTTTCACTATTTATGTTATGAGTCCCATGTAATAGGGGCATATTGCCATATACCGGGCACAATTCCAGACTCGTTATATTAATATACGTATGATGATTTATCTATAATGATTTATCTGTATGAATGTTATAGAAAGAGGAGATGGAGCTTCGTGCAGCCATGCGCTCTCGTGCGTCGACGCGCCCGAAGCGTCGCGGGGGCGGAGCCCGGGCCGCCGCTGGCGGGCAGAGGGACGACTCAGAGGACGAGGGTGGCGTTTCACTCGCTGCCATCAAGAACAAGTACAAACAGGGACAGAAAGGTAATTATAATTTTTAAACTATGTAACATCTAAAGGACTAGCAATGGACTCGTAACTCCTCTGGTGGCCATCGTAAGCGCGGGCCTGCGGACGACGAGCATGGGTGGCTCTCCGTCCGACCAGAAACAGACCCGAGCGTACGGCGCCGAGCGTTCCGCGCGCGCCTCAAAGGCCCAAAAAGACCGATGTCGATACGGAGTCGCGGAGAACTTAACGGGTTACCGGGGCTTCGGCTCGAAGTGCAGGGTTTTTAGTCAGTAAGATTCTGACACTCCCTCCCGGCTTACCCAGGCGGGCGGGAGAAGTCATCCGAAGATTTTCCCCACTCAAAAAAAACTTCTCTGGTGATGTGCGTATTCATAGACGGCACCTGTTGCTTACCACTATGTGACTTGTTTGCCGCCGTATCCCATAGAAAAGTTATCTATCTATTGCCCTAATACTGATAGGCTACTCATATGTAAGTTGTACTTAAATATCGTGCCATCTCTGTCATTGTACAAAGAGATTTTAGTGACAAAACTATACTAAAGCGCGACTTAAAATTGATGGCGTTTGAGTATAGTATTCTATTTGGTGGGATTTTCCCTTTAGTCTACACTTATACTAAAAACCTATTAAGAGTAGGATGTACCCGTTCTTTGATTACAAGGTGTGTCATTACCTCATAATCATGTAATCTATATCTAATCCTATCTTATTTTAAGAGGTAGCTACCATATCCTAGAACCTAGACAGTCTAAACAGACAAATCCTAAATAAAATTAACTAATTCATTACCAACTTTTCACAGCTTCAGCAGGCGCGGCGATATACTCATCAGAATCAGACGGTTCTGACGTGGAGACGCGTCGAGCTCGTCGTCTGGACCGCGCCAAGGCATTGAAGGACTCTGACGATGAAGGCAGTGACCATGCAGACCAGAATACTCCTCGAAGGACCAGCAGCGCCAGCGGCTCTGGCAGTGGAAGTGGCAGCGAGTAATGGACAATGACCGAAGAAAAAGACAAAATTAACAACGCACCTGTGACTCATCTGGTGTTACGGGTGTCCATGGGCGGCGCTGATCGCTTACTATTGGGTGATCTGCCTGCCCTCTATCATAATTTATTAGGTGAACGCGCGTGAAACAGTACATGATTGTACAATTGTAAGGAAATTGACTCATATTGTTACATTAGTAAGAAAAAAAAAATCCTGTAACTATAAATTGACTGAAATAATAGAACCATTAACCTGTGAAATGTCGGTACCCAGATCTACGCAAGACTTTGTTTTCCATTTCTATTGTATCTCATACATATATCGACAGACAAGAGGTTAATCTCGTTTTACGTTATCATTGTACCGATAATATATTTCATTATAAAATTCATTTAATGAATATATTGTTTAGTTAATTCTGATAAAACAAGTATATTGTGTGACTTGTACTTTAAAGTACGTTATGATTAAGTAAGTTGTAAATATATTTAGTTATTGAAATTAATTGCTATTGTTTTACTTCTAAAATGTTTCCTGCGTCGTTGGTCGAGTACACTCATTATTATGAGTGTAATCGACCTTTTTTTTAAAAAAAAAACGATGCTCCACTGGGATCCCCCTGTGTCGTGGGTGCGTTTACAAACATAACAACGTTCTGTGGATCACACAAAGAGTTATTTCGTGCGGGAATCGAACCCGCGACACGTTGCGCGGCAGTCAGTTGCCCAACCACCGTGCCAACCGTGCAGTCATTATAATTACCTATATCAGTGCAGTAATATACATCTGTTGAATACTTAGTTTTGGATTTTATCCTCTGAGTAGACCTACTAAAGATGGTTATTTTTTCACGTTCTAAGAACAGCGTAAGTATTCAATCTCTTTGTGTTCCATTTTCGTGTTTGCCAGATGGCGCTAGTGTTGCTTAAAGTCCGGCTAGTCACACACAGTAAAAGTTATCTTACTTTTTTACTTACCCAAACACAAAATACCAATAAAGTACAGTGGTGTCACCTTTTTTCTTTTATAACGAAATTCAAAGCCAGAAAAAAAACAAAAAACGATATATTAAATACAAATTTTATTTACAAAAATAACCAAGTCTTCAATTCCCTACGTGAATGTAACATTCTCTTTATTGATCTCCAACCTAGCTTCCCCTTCGTACACAATGTTGCCAACGGCAAAAATTCTCCAAGTACCAGCATCGTAAGTTGTTAGGTTAGGCACAGAAAAACCACAATTATTTAATTCTAAATTATTTCTGTTATAAAATCGGTCAAATGTGGACCGAGGTACGACTAGCTCGCAAGTTTTTAAAGATGGTATTGGGTATGCTATACTTAGGTTTAAAGTGTCACCTATATTTAAGTAAGATTTGGCGGGAATTAGTGGCACGTATTCTGAAACAAAAATTGTGTTTATTATTTACATATTTATTTTAACTTCAGTAGGTTTTTCCAAAGAGTAATATGATAGAAAATGAACATAGAGTTTGTGAAGTTTTTCTGGCATGGCTACATAACATCACGCCTTTTATCCCCGAAGGGGTAGGCAGAGGTGCACATTATGCCACTACAATGTAACACCCACTTTTCACTATTTATGTTATGAGTCCCATGTAATAGGGGGTAAGCCTATTGCCATATACCGGGCACAATTCCAGACTCCGTGCTACTACTGAGAATTATTTAAAAACCCAGTAATACTTTGCCCGACCCGGGAATCGAACCCGAGACCCCTTGCCCAGCAGTCGCACTTGCGACCAACGAGGCAACGGCATGGTTAATGTTGAAGAATTCTGATATATGAAAAGAGCAGAGAGCTAGATGAGGCCCTGCTTCGATTCCATTTAAATATGAAATCATAATTGAAACTTAATTTGGTTTTTGTGTATCCATTTTTTTAAAAGACTAACAAAGAAATCTGTAACTCACCTGTGATTGTAATGCTGAGAACTTGGAACATCTCAACCCACTCCCCATTCAAATCTTTAGTATACACACTAAGGACCCAGTTCCCATGATCCTCAGCACACAAGGGACCAATCATGAACTCATTAGATTCCAACTCAGCTGCCTTCTTACCGAACAAATCCGTTGGCGGCACTTTAGAGTACACCGCAAAAACATCGTAGTTATCATTCTGAGTGATTATAGGCTTTATAACATTGACATGACGTACTATAATCGGATGGACATCTCTTTCCAATTTCATGTCTCGTAATTTTGGAGATTTGATGTCTAGTTTCATAGCGTCTCCGTTCGGTTTGTGAAGGTAGTACAACGCTTCTTCATTAATGACCGGTGCTGATATTCTGATTACGTCGTTCAAAAAAGCATTGATGTTTAATGATGTCAACTGCACCTTTGATTTGGCTGTGGAAGACAATTTTTGAATCATTCGTTAGGTTTTTAAGAGGTTTTGCTCTGATAATTATGAATTTATGATGTCATATTTATGACAGCATAAATTCCATCATAATGGCCGTTGATGTTTCAACGGCTCGTTGCAGTCTACTGCTGCCTATGGTTCACGGGATATGAATAACTGTCTTGGATCCCGCAACGAAATCAGATGATATTATAACAGAAGAAAAAATGTGTGACTGCCTAGTTGGCCGAGTGGTCGCAAGTGCGACTGCCGGGAAAGGGGTCTCGGGTTCGATTCCCGGGTCGGGCAAAGTATTACTGGGTTTTTAAAAATCTCAGTAGTAGCACGGAGTCTGGAAATGTGCCCGGTATATGTCAATAGACTCACCCTCTATTACATGGGACTCATAACATAAATAGTGAAAAGTGGGTGTTACATTGTACAGTGGCATTAAGTGCCGAAATGTGCACCTCTGCCTTCCCCTTCGGGGATAAAAAGGCGTGATGTTATGTTATGTAAAAATGTGTGTGTATCTCTATTTAACCATAGTATTTTTCTTCTCTAATAATATCTTCTGATTTATTTCATTGCGGGATCCTTGAGTCGCGGCGGACTTCAGTGTTCCGGTTTTTGTTGTATCTACTGTAAGATCCTGGCTTACAGGAGTTATTGCAGTGGTTATAGGAGGGTGAGGCGGGCTTGAGCCATTAAAAAATGTTGTATGTATTATGGACTTTCTATCAACTTGGATCGATCCGAAGATTTTAGAAAGATCGGTAATTTCAACTGTTAGTCCGAGTCGGTTTTCTCTAACGATACCCGCGGAAAAAGTAAGAAAACTGTAGGAGTGTAAATTCTGTACGTTGAAAATGAATGAATGAAAAAAATAAATACTAGGGCGTTTTACTAAATAAGCACCTACCTACATATATACCGAATAACCAAACCCAAAAAGTGATAAATAAAATGTTTGTCTGTCTGTATTTTTACGCATCACGCAAAAACTATCGGTCTGATTACGATGAAACTTCGTATGATTATACTTTAATATCCTGAGCACTAACCTGGGTACTTTTTATCCTGAAAAAAAAAATACACGAAAAACCAAACTTAATTGTGCGCCTCAATCCCTAAGACAAAATTACTGTACCAAACGCAAATACAAGTTTGTCGAATGTTAGGTTGTCCGCAGTGGACTTTACGCTGTAACTGTAGGGCCGATGATTGAAATTAGTTTGAACCGATATTATAAATGTGAAAATATGTGACATACACATGTATGTTTGTTACTCAGTTATATCAAAACGGCTGAAGAGACCGGGATAAAATTTGGAACAGACGTAGGTTATAGTCTTGAGAAAGGCAAAGGCTAGTTTTTACTCCTGGGCACGCCGGTGAAGCCGTTAGCTGCTAGTGTTGCATATAATCTTATTTCATTCTTAACTCAGTTTTTAATTGCTACATTTTCGTTATCAACGAACACTATGTAGGTATTTGTCCTGCTTTAAATCCGAGAACACTGATTTCTACGTTTATAATGTATGTTTGTATTTGCATTTCATAACCGAGATTTTTTATCTTTAGATAAAGATACGGCTAAATATACAAACGCTTGCTTGTTCTCGTAAGGCTCAAGGACGTTGAATAAAGCGCACAATAGTCTCTTGAAACAACGACTGTGGCACCTAGCTACTATAGACTTACACGCAGAATACACACACATTGACACGAAGGACATCTGTCGCGTAACATGGCCCGTCTTTACATTTCAACCGTTCGGTGTTGCAAGTACACGCACACATAAATACACCGCTGACATTTTGGTGCTTCAATTTTTTTTAAGTGACATTACGTCCGCCTTTTTTTCAAAGTCCTTTAAAGGTCCAGTGTGACTCAATTTTATAACCAAAATATTTTGGCATTCCGGCCCAAGACAGTTTCTCAAATCTTTATATTACGACCCAGCTACTCAAAAATATGACATGGTAATTAACCAGTCGCATGCCGGTGAACAGATCTACGCGAAACATGAAGTGTTTTTTATTGTGTCTCACTAAATAATCTCGCCAATAGAATGAGCCGTCAAAAACTTATAACCTCGTACTGTCCTTAGACGCATCTTCCCCTATACTTATTATATTTGGACGAATCTTTAATTTTAGCATGCCAAGTTGTCGTTTACGAAACAAGAATCTCCTTATTTTTTTGTGGTAGTTACATGGAGATAGATAAACACAAATCTATTTGTATCTTTATAATCATTTAACTTTTACGCTGATTATAAAGATAATAATATGGTATTAAGTATATTGATGACTGTTGCGGAATATATGTTGTTCCAACACATTTGTTTCATAGAAAACACATTTTAATTCCGTAAGATACAAGCGATAAATTACTATGACCTAAAATAAGGTCGGTCGGTTTTTATTGTAACAGTTAGTTACAGGTCTGATGAGCTTTCAGGTTAAAGTCCTGCAATTTCTTATTCCTTTGTTACGTGAGGGAGAATCAAAGCTTACAGTCATTACACCGTCGATGTCAAGGTGGCCGTCAAGCCGAAGATTTTTTTTGTTTTTTTTTTCCAAAATCATTGCCCCACTCTAGGATTTTCTCCTGTGACGTGGGTGCGTTTACATACACATAACACCCAGTCCCGGAACAACAATTTATAGATCACACAAAGAGTGGTTCCGTGCGGGAATCGAAGTAGCTATACTCCGTCTGTTTAGGTAGTTAACTATTTGTAAACAAACCATAAAAAGAGTTCTTTATAGTTGACATTTCCATGATTCAAAATACTTCATAAGAAAATAAAATTGTTTCCCTTTTTACAACAGTTTTCTCTATTAAATGTTATGTTTCTGTTCCTTTTCACTTATTTCTTAGTAAATATTATATATATCTGCTTAAGGATATTAATTTAATAACATTTATTAAATAATATAATATTTCATTACAATAGACACCATAAAGAGCCTAAAATCCCAGGTATCCAAAACCCTTTTTTAAGAACGAAGCAAAATAATGTTGTCAAATTAAAGAGTACAACTAAGATGTAGCGCGACAATGAAAGTAGCGTGTATTACGTTTAGTCGGTTAATCAGGCGCCATTGACAGCTCTCTCGTCGTTTGCGCTCGCGTTCCTATTTTGTTGAATTTATCTTGTTTCTTTGTTTTGTTTTTGTTATTAAGTTGCTTAAGTTTAGGTATACATCGTTTGTAATTAATGTGTTCAAATATATTGAAGAAACTTGGCCCAAAGACACATATCCGTACAAGAAAGAAATCCGTACATTAGATTCAGAATAGTTTCTATTTAAACATGATAATGAAATAGACCCATAGGCTAGGCTCTTGTACGATTTAGGCATTTGTACTTGTATGTGTGTGTATGACAAATGAACGATTTCAAAGTGAATTTAGTTAAAATTAAAACACGAGAAATATTTGAAGTAATAGTAGGTTAAGTATCTCTGTGTCACGTGGTTTTCTTTGTTTACCTTTAGTTAATTACCTAAACAGATGGACTATAGTACTGTTCTTTATACTATGATAGTACCCCAGTCACCACGCCAACCGTGCAATCAATTGTAGATTTTTTAAGCAAGTAGCAGAAGTGGATGCTTATCTCGTGGGAGGTTGTGCCAGCAGGAAAATAACGAGGATATTGGGACTTCGACAGTTACAACGAACAAACAAATACATGGTTGGAAACAATAACACTGATTAACGCTTGAATACTGAGAGGCTATTTAATTTTAAGTTGTCGGTACCTACTTAAATATCGTGCCATCTCTGTCATTATACAAAGAATTTGTAGAGACAGAACTATTTCTAAGCGCGACTTAAAATTGAGTGACGTTTGAGTATATGGACATAAGAAAATTTTATTAACGTAGAATTACTAATCGATAAGGTTTTGATTAAAAGGAGAAATAATAATAAATTTTTATCACCAAGTTTGTTTTTATTTCTCTTTTGTATAATTGGTAATTCCTGACAAACATCTGAGCAAGTTTGGTTTATTCAAACTAATAGTTATCAATGTAAAACTAAAGCCCATAGACCTAAAAAAGGACAAGCTATTTCAACATACCTATGAATATTAGAATTGGAAATTTGGCAAATTGGTGTAGCCCCATATCTTCGTAAAAGCCTACCCCAATTTGTCAGATTTCTGTAATTGGCTTTCAGCTTATTGTAGACTAGCTTCTGCCCGCGGATTCGCTCGCGTTCCCGTGGGATAAAAAGTGCCCTATGTGTTATTCCATAATCTATACCTATTTCAAATTTCATCCTGATCCCTTTATCCATTTTGTCGTTATTGAGTAACAAACATACACACAAACTCTAACTTTCGCGTTTGTAAGTAGTAGTAAGATATTTGCAATAGAATTGAAAGTTGCAGTAGCATCTCTACCTACACATGCGCACAATATTTCGCAAGCCAATTATTTTATCCGTGGAAGCTGGCTAATCGCTTGTTCCCTTTCTTCACTCTCCTTTTCTCTTTGTCCTTCTACGATATGAGACATTGTATTGTCTTTTCAAAAGGACCATTTCTTACCCCAATCCTTATGAACCCCTTGTCAGGGGAACTCAAAGAGGACTGTCAGACTCTTGGTGACTAAAAACCACTCCGTCGACCCGTCCCTCACATGGGCACGGGAACGATATACTTCCGTAGCACAGTAAACCATGACCTAGATTAATAGCAGAGGATATTTTTCATCCGACACGATGGCAAGCCGCGGGAGACAATAACATATTTTTGTCTACCAAGTACCATTAGTATTACATCTAAAATAAACTAAGTTTACTTACATAGTCTAGTTAGTGTATTTAAGAGTTAAACTAGTCGTTATCAGTCACGTCTTTTTAATGAACCTACTTACTTCCAATCACTTTACACGATTTGCTTCGCGTTCTACAAACTATGAATCTAATTGTGAAGTTGTGAACTGTGGTTGTGTGGTGGCAGGGTGGAGTACATTTGTCTCCACTACCTTCCTGTGGGTTTTAAACGGTGTTGGGTAAGAGCCGATTAAGCTGAGGACCCTCAGGATCGTCGTAGACTTCGTTGGAGTCCGTGCACGCAATAATCCGGCGCCGTTTCAAATTTTTTTGGTTTTTTTTCAGCGTGGCCCCACTCTTGTATCGTGGGTGCATTTATAAACATACAAGTTCACACACACATGACAACCAGACCAGAAACAACAATTTGCGGAGCACACAAAGAATTTCTGCCTACGGGACCCGAAGCCCCAACAAGTTACACGGTAGCCGGTTGCCGCGCAACGTGTAGCGGATGTGTGTCCTCTCGTAGAAAATTGTCGGTCCTTCGGAGGCCCTGGGCACGGACTCCAAGTGCCCTACATACCTACATAATCAACAGGGATTGGGCAGCAGCGCTCTCTAAACCCTGATCCTTTACGCCTGCGATCTACACCCCACCTGATTATGACAAACGAGAAGGTCATACCCCATGGACTCTCATGTGCTGTTCACGATCTAAATTTTGTAAGTAGGTACTTCTCAATACCTATTTAGTTACTTTATTGATTCGACCTATTTACTGTTATTCTATCTCATATTTGTTTTTGGTATCAGAAGTTGGTTTTTAATAGATAGCAGAGTTATTCGTTTGTTATGCGCTTCAGTGTTTTCAAAGAAATTGATTTGATTTTTTTATATTATATTTAGTTCTAATGTTTTAACTTAAACGTTATTGAAATTGTGTTGGTGTCCAGTGCAGGTTTACTGGTCGTTAGATACCTCAAATGGCAATGTCAACAAGAGTATTTTGCAAAATATCGTAATATGAACCTAAACACATTTAACAAATAATTCTCATTAACCGAAAACACACGACCACTAATTAATTAAATTAAAATATATGTATAAATAATTATCAGTTTATCTAATTCACAAAAAATTTAAAAACACATTATTAATCGCGAATTCTTTTCATGAAGTTACTGATTTACTTTTTCCGATTAATCAACTAGACCATTCGAGCCTGACGCTTGTAATCGATAAAATTGTACGTACCATGTATATTTTCATCTTTAATTTTGTTGATTGTAAGGCAGTGGATAAATGAGAGGGTAAACGTCACTAAAACAATGATCACAATTACCCTTCGTTTGGGTAAAAGCGCGTTCATGTTACGCGCAGCCAACAGTCACTGATAGTCGGCGCCGGCGCATTACTATTCCACTGATATGGTATTTCACTGTACATATAAAGATAGATGTACATAATAGACACTTCATCCTTGTTTTTTTTGTTCATTTATAATTTATACAGTACTCATTTATAATTTATGGAGTAGATTGTAGAAGCTTTACATAGAGAGGACTAGAAGGAGGGCAGGGAGGCTGCAGAGTGATCGCCAACGCGACTGCTTAGCAACGTGTCTGGCGTTCGATTCTTAAGTCGCACATAAGTTCTAATAGTGCGCATGATAGTTTATAGTGCACAGTCTAAAATTGTAGCCGTTATATGGCAACAAGCTCGCCTAAATAGGACGCATAGCATAATTGGTGAAATGTGGGTGTTACATTTTATATGTATGTGCACTAGTGGAAGTACCACACAGTTTCGCCTATTGATAGTAGCGTGATGTTTTACCTATAGCCTTCTTCGATAAATGGACTATCCGACACAATAAGAATTTTTCAAATCGAACCAGTAGTTCCAGAGCTTAGCGCGTTCAAACAAATAAACAAACATACAAACAAACTCTTCAGTTTTATATAATAGTAATAACGACCCGCCCCGGCTTCGCACGGGTGCAATATGCATGAATTATACATATACACGTTCCTCAAGAATCACTTTATCTATTAAAAAAACCTCATCAAAATCTGTTGTGTAGTTAGCATACATAGGGACAGACAGACGGCGGATAGCGACTTTGTTTTATACTATGTACTGATAGGATTATTTCTAGTCTATAACTAGTAAGTTACTCCCTCGTGGATTCACCCGCAACTCCATGTGTATAGATCATAGCGTGATTCAGCATACATTATCTTCTTGGGCTCGTACACAAAACTGCGATGCGACGTCGCATCGCAAAAATGTGCAAGCTCCCTCTACGCATCGGAAGAACTTGCGAATTGATTCGCATCGCGTATCAAAGTCTTATCTTCTTTTTTTCCTGTATCTCTTAAACACAGAAATGCACACTTCTTTTTATTACGATCCATGTCACGACCTAGTTTTCAATTTAAAATACGTTTAGTACGGCTGACGGTCGTCGAAGGAATGGTCACCCTGGGAGACGCCTCGTCGCACGAAATCATATCGCAGCAATTCGCATCGTAATTTTTTGCGTTTTGTGTACGAGCCCATAAATCGACTGGTTCGATTTACGTCCATATATTACCGCGTTTAATCAATTAAAAAACAAACAAACTTTTTTAGGATATGCACTTAATATAGAGTCGATAAGTAGATACTTATATGATCGTAATGTCTAGACAATTTAATTGTTACATTAAGTGTACCTAGAGCATTAAGTAGGTACATACATAACGCCCGAATACTGAAAGGCAATTTAAGTTATACTTAAATATCGTGCCATCCCTGTCATTTTGCAAAGAATTGATAGTGATAGAACTATACTTAAGCGCGACTTAAAGTGCGTTTGAGTATTTGGACATAAATTATACGGACTTTATGTAATCTAGACAAGTTTCCGTGCTATAACCTAGCCGTACTTATTATTAAAAACAAAGATAACAGCTCACACATCAGACCTATTTCAATCAAAGATCTGTGATGCTTGGCAAGTGGGCTTCTCCCAGTTTAAAGTCTTTTTGTCCTATCAAAACTTTCAGTTAATCTGTATCCTGCATTAGTACAAGCAGTTGCATCTTTTAAAATGTCAGTGACCAAGACAGTTATACCTATTTAAGTCCCTGAAACGCGTTCAGTGTTCCGGTGTTATCATGGTTGTATCTACTGTAGAAGCTGGCTTATAGGAGTTGCAGGGAGGTTATGGCGGGCTTGTCCCATAAAAAAATCAGTGACATAATCTTCCAACATCTGCCAAAAATTTGGATTTCAGCGAGCGTTCCCCAGGCCCAGGGGAGAGATTTTTGTTGAGAATATTGGATTCCGGTTCATTTAGAGTATTTTTGTGGTGCCCAAATTAAAATACTTCATAGTTTAGGAGCCTAATATATTTTATGGTAAGGAATTGAAAGTATTTACATTTGTTTGACAAAATAAAAGATTTGTAAGAGTTAGCTAAGAAAGTAGTTTTCGAAACAACTTGTTCTTCTTCAGTTGCAGATCTTGAAGATAGAGGGAAGGCTTTGGAATAGGAGAATGTCCGAAATGTACACAACGTTTTTGTGTCCAATTCTAGATAGAACTTTTTATACTTCCAATTTCTTTTAGATATAGTTTATTGAGCGAGCGCAGTGTTGACAATCCACCTAGTGAAAGACGCGACTCGTGTGTTGATGCTCGGGTAGGCAGCGTCACCACAGCCTTGTGAACGAGAGAACACACCGATCACGGCACCGTCGGAGTCCAACAGTGGACCACCGGCATCACCCTGTAATGAAATATTATCAGGAATAAAATCTTAACTTTTAGTCTTAGATATTAAAATTTAGGTAGAAAATACAAGTGCCCTCTGACATTGAGGGTTATCATAAAAACTCCTTTTCACGACCGAGGAGCACTTAAAATGTTGACTGGTAGACATCTGCCGCATTTAACCATAAAACTTTATTAAATTTCGTTACTTATGCTATATGTATCCTCTGGTGTCATCCATGGACACCAAAGCTTACCATCAGGTGATCCATCTGCATATTTATCGGCCTAGTCCACAAACAATCTATTAGATCGCCAGCAACCGTAGAGGCATCATTTACTTACGATGTTCAGTTCAATTGCTTGCTTTTCAAGAAACCTTTCCTTTTTAAAACTGTGAATAGTCTACATACCGTACACTGTCCTACGACGCCCACATCTGGTAGACCAGCGCACACCATGTTGTCATTGACAATGAATGCAGTAGATGCGTAGTTGTTCTGACACGTCTGCAGATTGATCAACCACATCTGGACCACTCGCAGCTCTTGTGATAGCGTTGGGGATGTGCTCTGGAGACAGAAGATCGAAACTATAATTATTTAGGTTAATTAGAACGAAGATTACCGTTTTAATCGCTAAACAATAAAATTGTCCGTCCTCTTGTTGCTTGATTGTTCCCAAATATAAATGACGACTTTTTTGGTAGTTTTTCACACATTGGGTTACATTATCGAAATTTTCACACGGGTCTCTTTTTATCTTATTTAATATAGCCTATGTTCACCATCTATAATGTAGGATTCCAACGGTAAAAGAAATGTTCAAATCGGTCCAATAGTTTCGGAGCCAATTCAATTCAAACAAAAAAACAAATCTTTCCTCTTTATGCTATTAGTGTAGATGTAGAATACAAATTTTATCGAGCTGATTAAGACCGATTAATATTGAGCAGGTGAAATAGATCGACTGGAAATTTCTGACTAAATAAAGGTTTAATTTGCAAATGTTGTTCAAGCAAAATAACTAAATTCTTGTTGCGCACCTCCTTGTCATCATATTCATTGTCAAATATGCTGTATACCTATACGCTGACAATTCACTGTTACTCCCGTAAAATATGTGATTGATAACCCATACGAAAAATAAAATGACAGTTAACAAATAATACATCATGTACTTACAGAGGTAGCGCCCCATCCGAGGGCCCAAACCATTTGGTTGGCGCCATACGGGTAAGCCATACCTGCGACTCTAGCAGGGGCCACATTTGCATTGTATGCGATAGGAAGAACGGACCTTAATATAGCCAGGTCGTTGACCTGAGTGGCAGCTACATAGTTATCATGCACAGTGATCAGGTTGATCATGTAGACCGTTCCTTCACTGTTAGCCCTCGTCGATCCTACTCTAGCTCTCCACCACGAAGGTTGATTCACCCTGAAATAAATACTACGTGTCTTAGGTCTTACAAACGAATGACGTCGTCTGATGAACAAAAACCTCTTTTAAGAGAGGTTTAAGATTATGAAGTACTTAAACATTAGGTAATTAAATTCTTTTGTTCTTCAAACCCATCAATTCAACCCATTCAACAATGTATAGCAGTATGTCATGAAACTGAAAACGTTATTTCATATTCATGACACAATAGATGTTGAGGACAAAAGTGCTGCGAGCTCTTTGTCTAGCCCGTCACGACGCAATGGTCTCTTGACCTACAAATGACTGAACAGCACTGTAATGTCTAGAAATCCATTTATACGAAAGTGAGTGAGTATCTCTAATATTCAAGTAGATACTATTTGATTGGAGGCTCGTTGTCCTGTGCACTAGATGGCACTAAAGTAGCTTTATGTCTGCTTGCTCTGCTTGGTTGGAGATTGGTTTTACATTAGAGATTTAGGGCTTATTTCACAATGACTGGATAGTACCACAAGACAATCGCCGAGGCGTCACCGATTCATGGTAGATATCACACCCACAAGAAGCGCTTCGCATCAAGCTTCCTTGTGCGTAGTGCTAAGAAGGGGAATTCTTTGTCAGAGTCTTTATAACCTTGGTGTCTTCAAGGGCGGGGTGAATAAGTTGCTTATGGGACGACGTGCTCCATTGTAGACCGTATCATCGTTTACCACCAGGCGAGATATTGGTCAAACATCGGCCCACGAAGAAGAAAAAATAGTCGCCATATGCCATCTACCAGGTAATTTGTATGAGCTATCAGGTAGCTGCAGTATCTGCCAAATACAATATATTTATCGGGTACTTATATGTATCAGGGTGGAAATAAGCGTTTAATGTTACTACTTACACTGCATTAGTATAAAAGCATGAGGCTGCAGACAAGATGGCGCGGTTCGTGAGGATGGAACCCGCACACGCCTGAGTATAAGAGGTTCCTTGTCCACCATTCGTCAATAGCGCAGTCACGAACGGATAGTCATTAATGTAAGTAGGATTACCACCGGCTATCCTTTGGACGGACCCTGGAAAGATATAACGATAAATAAAATATTGTGGTGTGGCTACAGCAGTTTAGAACATATTTGTTAATGTCATCACTCCTACGCTTCCCGGGAGTGTAAGAACCGTTACATTTAAGAGATTCGGGCAACAGTGTTGTTTGAGAAACCTAAAAGCCGGGAACAAACTTATAACTGATTAGATGACTCCGCCTTCGGTGATGTAGGAGGTGGCAATCTACCCACGACCCCAGTCATCATCATCGTCATCATATTAGCCATAGGACGTCCACTGTGAAACAAAGGCCTGCCCCAATTACAATGGCTCCCTGCGACCTTAATAAGGTCGTCTGTCCACCTTGCAGGTGGACGTCCTACGCTGCGCTTGCCGGTACGTGGCCTCCACTCGAGAACCTTTCTGCCCCAGCGGCCATCAGTACTCCGTGCTATGTGCCCTGCCCACTGCCACTTCAACTTGCTAATCCGCTGGGCTATGTCGGCGACCTTTGATCGTTTGCAGATTTCTTAATTTTTTTCCAGTAGGATCTTGTAAATAACTCTTCTAGTGTGTGTGCATAGACAGCGCGGATTGTTTCCCAGGCGTATGGAAAGAAGTTTAACACGTTAAACGCCATGGGGGTCACTGATGACCGGCGTTAGCGGAGGATTTACTTTCAACAGTTTTTTATTGGCAGTCAAAGTCTTAAAAAAAATATATAGGGATTGATTCATTCTTAGAAAGTTATCGCTCGTCGTATTTACTACATTGTATGTTTTAACTTTTAACGTTTTAAAATGTAATTGATACCACTTCGCTACTATGAGCTAGTTATAGGTAATGATTTCCTGCTTTTTATTGCTTTTAGACACGTAATGTATTAGGTCACAGTATCTGTATAGCTAGATACAGCAGTCATTACCACTATGTACTTACTACAGAATAGCGAAGCACATCAAACTTTATGTCTTGGATACGTTAATAGACCCAGAACAATCATACAACGTTTCGTCTAGTACTTAGTCGAACTCGCGACATGTCACGCAGGCTCAGCGCCAACATATATACCCAATACCTAATAGGTCACTTAATAAACAAAGGCTCCCAACTGCCGTGGTATCACTCCGGGCGAGCCGGCCTCACAGAAAATCGTGAAACAACGCTTGCGTTGTATTTTGACCTGTGAGTGAGGTGACCAGAGGCACAATTAAGCACCCGCCGCCCTCCCCCCCATCTTCCCAATCCCTGAATTCCCAACAATCCTCAAAATCGTAATTTCCAAAATGCAGACGCACTTGTAACGTCTCTGGTGTTCCAGGTGTCCATGGGCGGCGTCGATTGCTTACCATCAGGTGATCCGTCTGCTCATTTACCGGCTTCAAAATATAATTTTTTTGTTAACACAACCCGTATCACCGTTTATTGATAATGTAAGATCAAATCAAAACACTAACCTTTGGCATTTGCGAATAAGAACACTAAAAATAAAACTGTAAACTTCAACATTTTGTATAACTTCGCTCCGTAATGCCCTAATGACTAACACATACAATTAACTAAATAAAAATAATTCGATAACATTAATTTTATCACGGATAAAGACATTTTTATCAAGAAATTTTTGTCTATCTTTATAGCTTCGCGACCTTCGATTGATTAAATACTTGACATGGATTACCTAAGAATTAATTTTCTGTGGACCTATCTACTGCCAAGTAAAAATTTTAATGTAAGAACTTCTAATAGAGTCCACTGCTGGACTGTGAGGCTTCTCTACATACGCTTAAGTCAATCTCCATGCCAGGCAAGCCTTTTTAATGAAAAGCCACCACATCCTCCGAAAACTGCTGCAACTCCTGTCAGCCAGGATCTACAGTAGATACAGCCACGAAAACACCGGAACACTGATGACTGAAGTCGAGCGCGTCCCAGGGACATGAATAACTGTCTTGGTTCTCGCAACGAAGTGAATCAGAAGATATTATAAGAGGAGAAGAAAAAAACGAGAGTTTTCACTTACCTCGGTGAATTACTGTAGGAGACAGAATGAATTAAGCCTAAAGGAACGAATTCCCACAGGAAGAAATTCCAGTTGGGTTATGTGGGACCTTTGTAGGTACATTGTTTATAAATATGTGTTGTCCTTTGTGTTGTATCATCATCAACAGCCTATAAATGCCCACTGCTGAGCAAAGCCTCTTCTCACACGGAGAAGGTTTGAGCATTAATCACCACGCTTGCTCAATGCGGGTTGGCGATTTCAAACTTATAATTAGAAATTATAAGTCCAGGTTTCCTCACGATGTTATTCCTTCACCGTTTGTCAGTGGTGTCTAAATAATCTTAGAAAGTACATATAACTCGAAAATAGTCACATTGGTACCTGCCGTTGGTAGGTTTCGAACCTGCACCCTCATGCGTGAGAAGCGGGCGTCTTAAACCTCCAGGCCACCACGACACTTGTGTTGTATGTGTGTACATAAACAATAAATAAAATTCAACATCACGCCTTTTATCCCCGAAGGAGTAGGTGCACACAGAAGTAACACCCACTTTTCACTATTTATGTTATGAGTCCCATGTAATAGGGGGTGAGCCTATTGCCATATACCGGGCACTCGAACCCGAGACCCCTTGCCCGGTACTTGTGACCACTCGGCCAACGAGGCAGTCATTTATTTCGTATGACTATATACACCGTACATTTACTTTTCTTCAAGCAAGCACAAGTCACCGATCCTGTTAAAATCGATCTGTAGGTAGGTAAATACCGAATTCAACAAACAGTAGATACTTACCTAATTATTAAATTGCATTGCATCATTTTGACAATGTTTGTCTATCATTACATAAAAAAACTAGTAAGTATGTATTTAAAATCAACATTATAATACTTTTAATTAGGTCCTTTTTCATTTGAACTGTCTACATAATTCACTGAATGCAACTTTCGTTTTTATAAAACTACTTTCGTATCGTTTATCGTTTTTAATCCATGTAAATAAAAAGTTGAAGTCTGTCAGCCTGATAATATTGAATTACTGATTATGATATAATTATATGATTAATCGCCTCTGCGAGAATTTGAAACTGATATGCCTCCAAACCTTCAAATACCTTAAAATGGAGTACCCTAGGGTACTCCATTTTAAAAGGCCAGCTACGCATCTGAAACTCCTCTGGTGTTAGATGCCCACGTGCATCCATGTCATTACGGCATATAAGTAGTCCTACTTCCTACTAATATTATAAACTAGCTTCTACCCGCGACTTCGTACGCGCAATCCTATTTTCCCCCGTTCCCGTTCGTGATTTTCGGTAAAAAGTAAAATAAAAGTTTTGAATAAAAAGTATCCTATATCCGTCTCCTAGTTCTAAGCTACTTCCCCGCCAATTTTAATCCAAATCGATTTAGTCGTTCTTGAGTTATACATAGTGTAACTAACACGACTTTCTTTTATATATATACTAGCTTCTGCCCGCGAAATCCGATTTTCGTACGCGTAATCCCATTTTTTCCCGTCCCCGTTAGTGATTTTTGGTAAAAAGTAAAATAAAATTTTTGAATAAAAAGTATCCTATGTCCGTCTCCTGGTTCTAAGCTACCTCCCTACCAATTTTCAGCCAAATCTATTCTGCCATTCTTGAGTTATAAGTGGTAACACGACTTTCTTTTATATATTTAGATATGAGTGTGTGTTTGTCTCTCTCTCTCTCTTTCACTTCTAAACAGCTGAAGGGATCGAGATGAAATTTGGAACACGGGTAGAATATAATTTGGAATAACACATAGGCTACTTTTTATCCTGTGGGAAACCAGGCGAAGCTAGTTTCGAGGTAGAGATAGAAATGTGACTGACAGACAGCTCCTGTGTCTTTCGCGGAGAACCAGGGTTACTGGGGTTTCGGCTCAAAGCAGGAGTAGGAAAAGGGTGGTTTTTAGTCAGTAAGAGACATTCCCTCTCGCCCAAGATGGAGGGGTCCCGCCTTAGGCGAGAGGCTCCTCATTCTATGATACTCCCCCTTCAAAAAAGCTTTTTGTCTTCCCACAGGCAATTTCATCTAGAAGTAAGTTTTCCATAAGAAGATTTCATCTAGAAGTATTAACTGGCACAGGTTTCTAGACATCGATCAGTAATAATACAAGATTGGATATGCAGTAACTTCATTTATCAAAAATATAAAAACAATCTTTTGCATCTAGTATTAGTACGTATTTACAAAGGTTATCAAAACATTAAAAATAAATCAATAGTATTCTAATTCACCGTAATTTACAATGACTCTTGATACTACTAATTTTGTAATATATTATTTTTAGTTCACATACACATATTATGTACAGCATAAGAGTACATACTCTTTAAAACAGCCTCTCCTTGCAATGAGGCAAAAATTTAAAACAATTCGTTAAAAATCCGGACAGATTTTTAGATTAAGTTATAAATCACGTGACCAATTCTTTTTCTCTGGACCTCTGCCGTTTTCAGCAATCACTCCTAAACGGTCACTTAAACTAAAAGTCTTTTAGTATGACGTAGCACCTAAACTAAACCCTTACTTGTACCTACTGATAAGTGTCACACTTCTATATTGGTGAAAAGAAAAATGACGTTAAAATTCACCAATTTTAGCTTACATTTTAAATTTAGGAGAAGTTGATGAAAACGACTATAAGTCAAGTTGGTTAAAGCCAGAATGGTTTCAAATGGTCCCATTTTATAAATAAGTACAAAAAAGTACTTGAACTGATTTTAAACACGGATAAAATTAATAAATGTACTGTATTGTCAAAAATTTCTTTAATTAATGTCCTATTCGCGTTAATTTTCGGGCTTCCATTAAACTTTTGGTGGTAGGTCGTTTTGCACAGCTTCTTGCGTCGGCGTGGGGTGTCTTCGGAAGCTGTTTCTGATCGAGGCTGCTCTCTCGTAAGTCCACTTACGATTCTTCGGAGGAATTAACGACACTGCAGCAACTATAAACAGGAATCCCATGGTTGCGCCTAGCATCCAAAATAGGATCTTTGACGCTTCTGAAAAATAAATGAAAGATTTTTCATTAGTCAATCCAGAAGAACGTACCTTCTGGGCTTCCAAGCAGGGCTTTCCACCAACGAACTGCTTTAAAGTCAAGCTATCTTTCTAAATTACGGAGTTGTGTCACTGTTTGCCTTATAAATGTAAAAGGCGCATGCTTTACAAACGAAAGCAGTGCCTATTTGCCTAATATTTGCATTGTGTCTCCCGTGTAACTATTGAGTTAATGGCTAACCCCGAATACCCAAATTAAACCCCAAAAACATTTGTAGATCCTCTAGTGATGCAGGTGTTCACAGAGATTGCTTACTATCAAGTGATTTGATACCTACTAACGGCAAGTATCAGTAACAATGTTACTTTAGCCGAGTTATATGTACTTTTCAAGATTATTTAGACACCACTGACAAAATGTAAAGGAAAACATCGTGAGGAAACCTGGACTTATAATTATAAGTTTGAAAGCGCCAACCCGCATGAAAAGCGTGGTGATTAACGCTCGAACCTTCTACGTGTAAGAAGAGGCTTTGCTCAGCAGTGGGGCACTTATAGGCTGTTGATGTAAGAGATTCGACTGCTTCATACTGTTTACCTATTTCATTAAAAGTGTCTAATAAAAATACTCACTGGAATTCGCTTCAGCTGGCCGCTGCAGCATACCCGTGTTATCTGACCTCTCGTTGGTTTCTCCAGTGACCTTAACGAACACCGTCCAGGGCTGCAAGTCCCATCCGGTCGGATCAGTGATAGTGAGTATGCATCTTCCTTCATAAATTGACCATTGGTACATGTAGAAGTCAGGGGGTGGATTAATAGAATTAAAACCTGTAAAAAATATAACAACAGTTATCATTTTATTTTGGATAAAGTCGTTATGGTAGTCTCTTACACTACATTACTATGGTAGTCATCTATCGTCCACAATTCGCTAAGGGTGATGACAACATTCTTGGTTAGCCCCACCATCATGCTATCTACTATATAAAAATAAGTCGGGTTTTCCTTCCTGACGCTATATCTCCAGAATGCAGTAACCAATTTCCACGGTTTTGCATTCGTTGGAAAGGTCTCGGACTCCGTGAGGTTAATAAAATATAAAACAAAAAAGAAATGTTTCTTTATCTTTTAATCACCGAACGAAATGTTACATAAAACGAAGCCATCTGGTGGCGAAACTGAGTTCGCCGGGTTTGCTAGTTCGATATAAAATCTTCTAGCGAGCTATGATTATTAGGAAACAAGTTTAACAATTTTTACTTACCTAATCCGTCGTTGCGAACAAATCTACAGTAATCCAGAGGCTTCCAGTCACCGGCTATAGCACCTATTTCCAGAACCCCGCTCCGCCATGTGTGGAATACTCTTATTGGCTCTGTAATATTAACATACGAAATAATTAACTTCATATTTATTACGAAACTACAATTTTGGATGATAGATGTGCGTGTGATTACAGTAATGGCAGAAGACTTCATCAGATATCAATGAAAGGCATTCCCCCAAATAGATTCTGGCAATAGCACCTAAATATGATTAAAATATTTTTAATGATTCAAAATCAGGAACAGAAACTTTCGGGACACTCACACGTATATTTTTACGTGTGTGTGTGTCCCGAATTACGTTTATACAGACGTTCGAAAAAATACAATAAAAGAACAAGTAGAAAAGTAAGTTTTTTTTAAGTTTCAATTACCCTTCTGTAGCAAATGTTTTCAATAATAACTTTATATTAGATCCAGAGTTTCTAAACATTAGTAGACTTGATAACGTGCAAACAATGTACAATGTTCATTTAACGGCAGCTACACTACTATATTATGATAATGACTAATATTTACATGTTCTTACCGCTAACGCCGACCTCGAACGCGTCACTCCTCTCTTCGAAGTTGGTCAGGCCTACACTGCAGGACCATGTGCCTGTGTGGTCCGTTCCAAGCTCATTGAATTTAACTCCACATTCTCCTGAGTCGAAACCATTGCCCACATACTCGTACGATTCTGACGCCAAAGCTGTGGATGAAAAAAAAAAATTACTCTAATGTTCTTATTATTCAACTAGCTTTTACCCGCGGCTCCGCTCGCGTCACAAAAGGATAAAAAGTAGCCTATGTGACATATACCAATACACACAGCGCCATCTATACCAATAATTTCGTTTTCCCTTGAGAATATAAAATTTTTCCGGGATAATTATTTAATACAGACTTCTAACTTTAAGTCTGCACAAATTCAACGCAATCGGTTTAGTAGTTACGGCGTAAAAGCGGAACAAACAAACAAACAAACTCACTTTCCGATTTATAATATTAGTAAGGATTCATTATCTTAATGACTATAGATATTTCCTTTTGAATTTTCTCTCCTGTGTGATGATGTGATCACCACACCCAAATTCGAAACAACTTTTTTAAATTAATCAAAGAGAAAAAACCGACCTCACATTTTCATTCTTATTATGTGTAACTCAGAATTTTAAGTAACGAATAATAACTGATCGAAAGTGTCTTCTATCTTTCAATTAAGGCTTTACTATGAGGCTTTACTAGGTCCCCAGTTAGTTTTTTTTATGAAATAAGCCGGTAAACAACACCAGACGGATCACCTGATGGTAAGCAATCAGCACCACCCATAGACACCTAATATGTAGTAAGGCAGATATACTTACAAGGACCGACGTTGAAGACTGTTCCATTTGGTGATCTGAAGTAGCAGTACCGTATTGGAGCACTGATGCTGCAGGAGAGGATAGTGCTCTCACCCTCAGTCACCGAGTAGAACGGGAACTGGCTTTGTAGGAAGGGAACTGGAAATGAAATAGTGATTATCATAAAAATAGCGTTTGGATTTTTAACAACGACATCTCAACTTTTAACAAGGTGTCGTGGTGGCCCGGAGGTTAAGGTAAGACGCCCGCTTCTCATGCATGAGGGTGCAGGTTCGAAACCTACCAACGGCAAGTACCAATGTGACTTTTTCCGAGTTATATGTACTTTCTAAGATTGTTTAGACACCACAGACAAACGGTGAAGGAATAACATCGTGAGGAAACCTGGACTTATAATTTCTAATTATAAGTTTGAAATCGCCAACCCGCATTGAGCAAGCGTGGTGATTAATGCTCAAACCTTCTCCGTGTGAGAAGAGGCTTTGCTCAGCAGTGGGCATTTATAGGCTGTTGATGATGATTGATGATGATCTCAACTTAACCCATTCATGGGTTCAGCCGTCCTATTAGCAAAAAACATTGCCGTTATTGTGCTACTCACCAATGAGGACTTCAAAAGTGAATTACCAACCACTATACACAAAGTAATCGGAAAAGAAACCTTGATTCCGGAGTAATAGAGTTTAAAATAATTACCAGTAACGTCATTTCTGTCGGAACTGCTGGTATGTTCAGGTTTGTATCCACGGAAGTAAGTTAGGAACCCATAGCCAGTATTGTCCTTGGTATGGACGGCACAACGCCAGATTCCTCTCGTCCTCAACTCAGGATTTGTGAGGGTAATTTTACACCTTAGACTATTTGTATCCGTCTCGTACCTAGAATACCACACAATGATTATAAGTGCATGTTGAAAAGAATTAAAAAAAATACCAGTAATACTTTGACCGACCGGGAATCGAACCCCATACCCCTTGCCCGGCAGTCGCACTGGCGACCACTCGGCCAACGAGTGAGTCTTCTTGAAATAAGGTGGGTTTATCTTAATTGTCACGTGAACATTTATCAGTCAATTATCACTGAGCAGTAGCCAGAAGCTTCATAAATACAGTGTTTAACCAAGGATGTGGTACTACCCCTTGCGGGTGTGAAGACTAGATGGCAGTTACTCCACGTAAAATACTTACACTCAGCCAAATCAGGCTAAGGTTCTTAGTCAGATTCGGCGATGACCTCAATAAATTAAAAAATTAAAGAATGACAAATTCTTGCCAAGACTCGGCAAAAACCGCAGCAAATCCTGTAAACCATGATCTACAGTAGATACAACTTTGTAAACCGAAACAATCGAGTATTAGCCTTAATGAAAAATAAATTATTTCGACTGTTCAATAGAATAAAATATTAAAAACAATCACACATTGGATGCCGTGTCGGACAATGATGTCCGACGCTAGCGGAGGGTTGGCCTTTAACAGTTTTTGTCGGCAGTTTAAGGCTTAATTGATTTTATGAATAACCTAATTTTAGTATTTTTCATGCAAAATTTTAAGAAATAAGTATGCTATTTGACTCTCATAAAACGTGACGTCACAAAACACAATCTCGTATAAAATTCATAGAAAACTGTCGTTTTTGACAGTTCGAAAAAGGTATTGAATTTGACTAGTTGGCAAGTACTCAATTATCCGACGCGTCACAAGGACATGAACCACTAAATTGGATCCCGCATCAAAATAAATCAAAATGATAACACAATATAATAAATCATCAGAGGAGTAGAAAAGGACGCTTGCTTCATAAAAACTCATGAAGAACCAACCTTGAAGCCCCAGCGTATACTCCTTGTCCAACGCCATGGTTGGCGAGGAGTATGTGACCTTCAGGAGTAGCAAATTTACAAGCTTGAACCACATAGTTACTGGACACGGAACATGACAACGTTACCATGTTTTCAGCTTCCACCACTTCAGTGGTAACAAATGGCCTCCAATCTGAAACAAAGCGAAACGGAATTAGAAAAAAAAATTGCATTACGTATACCTACGCATGTTTGAATGATGTTTGTTTTTACACATAACTCACCAGATGAGAGCACGTCGACATTGAATTTCTGGTATCGGACGCCAATGGACCCAGGGACACCAACGTAGATGAGCCACTGTCCACGAAGGTCAGAGGTCACCTTGTCAATCTCAACCCGGCACGGACCGAAGTCATCAAAGACTGTGTCACGTCTACTGTTGTAGAGATTGCAGTAGACAGCATCAGCAGGACCCATGGTCATATTCACTGCCTGACCAACGGTCCACTGCTGATCTTGCACTGCTATTTGTACTGGTTCTGAAAAATATGTGTTTCTTAGTTAGTAAGGTAACTACCTTACCAAGAGTGGGGAAGGCAGGTCATGTTTTTCAGGAACTTACAAAACACTCACTTTAATTTTTTCTAATTATTTTTATACAGACTTGATAGACAGTAATAAGAAATATGTAATAGATTTATTCAGAAATACAGGTAGACCTCGACCGTACTGCAGTGGAAACGAGCGAAGTAGTTTCAAACCGCCGCAGTTTTAATAGAAAACCGCAGTTGCGGGCGTTTGTATTCAGTTTCTCGTTTCACTAAATTACGCGGTTGAAAACCGTCGCGGTTCCACTCTGATGCGGCTTAGGCCATAGGCAGACAAGGAGACAGACGCCACAGACACAGATCTAACAAAAGCATTACGTAATAAAGGCTTGTTACCTAAGACGTTGACTTGAATATTAGCTCTATAAATAATGCTCTTTCCAAAAATAATACTCCATGTACCACTCTGTGTCAAGTTAACCTTCTCAATTATATAACCACATGATTCACGGTGAATGTCATCAATTAAATATTGCTTTTCATTTAAATCTTCGCCGGTGGGCCCAAACAGTTTGCAAGTTTTAAACATTTCCGTTGTTACTGGTAGTCTTAGGTAGAGGTCGCTACCTTCGGTTATGGTAATTGGATTGCCTGCAGCTAAGACCTCTGAAAGTCGAAAAAAGTGAATTTTAAAGTTACTTACAGTTATTCAAATTCACTGGTAATACGGTCATTTTGTTTCATTATATGACATCCTTAAGGAATTACCAAATTATTGTATCAAAATATTCCAATATACATATTTATCGCTTCTTAATACGGCACTAAGCGCCTTATCAGCTACGTGACAAGATTAGCATGTCATTGTCATTATTAATTTACATTTTACCTTCTACGTGGATGGAAAACGTTCGCCTTCTTTCAATATGTATTGCAGTTGTGCCTGATCTTCTCACAGCCCTCGAAATAAGAGTCCAATCTCCGATCATCTCAGTATTATATACATGAACTTCTACACCACAATCTATTCCGCTTCCAGTTACAATTTCTACGTTGCTGACATTAAAGCCAGTTATAAACGCGTATTGTAAACCAGTAGGAGTCAATATGTGACAGCTCTCATTCTCAACAGAACCTGTAGAAGCTATCGTCACTCTATGTGTAGTTTCCAGCTTCGTGTCGATGATTTGTGGACTCAATATTTCAACCGTTCGAAAGTCATCAACAATTGGGTTTCGGGGATCTGAAATGAGTCCATAAAAAACGGTCCATTTTTTAATATCAGATGGAGCATAAATTACGTTTTATAAATTGTAACATAACTTAAACCTTTACCAATTTCCATACACCGTAATTCCTGTGTTTGCTTATGTGCGATCTGAGATTAGATCCTGAGATTTCAATACTTAATTTACGTATAGTCTTAATTATATTTCTATATACTGACCTTCTTGTATGAGGTATACCTTCTGCCGCTTCTCGGTATGTATGTGCCCGTGACTGAACTTCCCAACAAACCGCCACTTTCCCAACACATCTGTGGTTATCGAGTGGAATACTAATTGACAAGAAGATTCTCCCGTCGGAACTCTTAATTCCACACCTTTAAGTCTTTTCAACTCATACGCGTTATCCAAGTTGTATATTTTGCGTGAAGGTGTTTCGCACACGCAATTGTCAACCTCGCTGATGTCACTAAGAGTAACAGTTAAAGCAGTTTTTAAAATAACCACTTGTTTGAAATCTGGTAAATCTGTCACATTATACGCTTGTTCATACGGGTTGTCTTCATCTGCAAAATTTTAATTGAGTCATTATTTATACTGTTTGATTATAAATTCTGCCCTGGTTGTTAGTTTAAAGTCAAAAGTTCTAATTAAATTATTCCGAATGCGGGCTGAATATTATAGACCCTCGTATACGAGAAATTAGGCGGTCACGCCTATGCTTCATGGTGCCGCTGTGGATTGTGAAGCGCCAATTTGAATTACGGCTTTATACTCACTGTAAATGGTAAACCTCAAAGGCTGATGAATTTCTTGTAGATTACGCGAGGAGCGGAATCTGCCATAAATGGTCCAGTCACCCAGTGAATCAGCGTCGGTGATGGAGAATATAATGCTGCAGAGGTTTAGATGGTTAAATCCGACCCTTGCAAGGTTGCGATACTTGGTGTCTTTGGTTATAACCAGGTCTTCACCATTGGGTGTGACGACGTGGCAAGAGACTGCCCCGAAACCGGACGGTGATGACACACCCGGGTTGACGGTCAAGCCATAGTTTACCGAGTGCTCAAACCTCGGCTGTATGCTTGAACCTGGTCGTGCACTCGGATTGTTAGGGTCATCTGGAACGGAAAAAACGATTGGATTTAGAGCAATCGTTTTATTAATTTATTATGTAAGGTTCGATTTGTCTATCTGTCATCTTTCTTATTTTAAGAAATGTGTTAGCTAATTATTATTTTATCATTTTAGCTCAACACAAATAGATTTATTAACTCTACCTAAGATGTTTATATTGTGGGTTTTCTAAAAAAACTTCTCTTTAAAGTGTATCCAATAGGTAGAACAAGAAAAATATAGATTTTGTTGGTATTCTGTATAACATGCGATCAATTTCTTTATTATTATCTGGATAATGATAGAATAAAGATAATGAATGTTCACATACATACACTGGTAGCGTATTACTTATACTACTCAGGCTTTAGGGCTAATATTAATGTTTTAAGTAAAGTAATATTTGTATTGATATGAAAAAAGATATAAAAATAAACTTACTCCAAGCAATAGTAACAGGTTGGCATCTCATATCATTGTTGGATTCGCCACACAATAACCAGCCTCCAAGTGCGTTCTCGTTTATTGGTCCTATAGAGATCCTGCAGGAGACAAGAAGACTGCTAGCTTGTACCACAACGCTATCCATCTCAAAGTCCGGTGCCACCTTGGTTAATTCCCCACCCGGGGCCCTCACGTAACAATCCTCCTCTCCAGCTGATGTGTCCAATGAAACATCGATTACATCTTCCTCCCTCACGAAATGTTGGATCGTATCCAGCATAGTTCCTAAGTCCTCTTCTTTGTCATTATCATTATCATCGCCTGGTGCTGAAGTAGGAAAATAATCAAAATATATAAAGTCTATTGCTGGCTTTCCTTCATAGATATTTAAGAATCTACACTTTGGTGCTAGTTAATAATTAAGTAGATTCAGTAAAAAAAATACACAAAAAAGAATCCGCCATAGTTCTGTAATATGTATAAATATAAAAATTTGGTTTGCTTACCAGTATTGGCTTCATTGACTATAACATAGATTGAATCTGAATTGTTTCCAGGACCAGTTTCTGTTTCGTATCTCATTTCCCAGATTCCCATATCTGCTCTTTCTACATCAGTAACCTTGACTGAACAGTCTTTGTCGTCCAATACTTGGAACCTTTTCTCGTTATCAATTTCATCACCAGGGATGAAAGCGATAATAAGGTCACGATGGTCTGCTAAAAGAATACATTCGACTATAACTTCTGATAGCTCGGCTACTGCTGACACTCCGACAGTGAATTCTTGTCCTGTGAATACTGTTGTTGTTCTTAAGCTATCGCCTCTTGGTAAAATGCCTGTAAATAATATATAATAATTATATAATAATAAAAATAATAAATCTGCGAGGATGATATGTTGCTTTTTTATCTCCTGTGTCGTCGGTGCGTTTACAAACATACAAGTTCACATACACATGACACCCAGACCCGGAACAACAATTTGTGGATCACACAAAGTGTTGCTCCGTGCAGGAATCAAACCCGCGACACGTTGCACGGCAGCCGGTTGCCCAGCCACCGCACGGCGCACCAACCGTGCAGTCTAAAATTCTCACTACTAGTACTGTGTCTAAAATCGTGCCCGGTATATGGCTCAGCCCCTATTACATGGGACTCATGATCTAAATAGTGAAAAGTGGGTGTTTAATGTACAGTGGCATTAAGGGCCGTAATGGGTACCTCTGCCTACCCCTCCGGGGATAAAAGTCGTGATGTTATAGGCTTAGTCAATAATAGGCAAACATTAGTATGTCTCAAAACAGCAACTATTGAGGGATGGGCAACAGTATCCACCCTCCTTACTTCCGGAGGATAATCCTAGTGTGTGGCAACGTTTTTATAGAAAAAAAATACTTTGCCCGACTCAGGAATCGAATCTGAGGTCTCTTGCCTAGCAGTCGCACTTGCGCCCACTCGGCCAACAAGACAGTCAGTATTAACACAGCCACAAAAGTAATATTTGGAACAAGACTCACTCCATCTTAAAAAGATAAAAAAAAAATAAAAAACGACAAAATTTTAATCTATGTAACTTAAATCTTAAAACCTATTATTCAGCTATATTATTTTTTTACCGTCTTCCTGGAAATTTACATTTATATGTGTGGGAGAGCCATGCTTCGGCACGAATGGGCCGGCTCGACCGGAGTGATACCACGGCGTCATAGAAAACCGACGTGAAGCAACGCTTGCGTTGTGTTTCGTCATGTGAGTGAGGTTATCGGAAGCCAAATTACCCTCCCCTTATCCAATCTCCCCAATTCCTGAATCCCAACGATCCTCAAACTCCTAATACCTCAAAAGGCCGGTAACGCACTTGTAACGCCTCTGGTGTTCCAGGTGTCCATGGGCGGCGCCGATTGCTTACCATCAAGTGATCCGCCTGCTCGTTTACGGCGTATGCCATAAAAAAAAATATTTATAAATAAAAAGAGGACCATAAAAATATATATGTTTACTTTTTTTTTTAAGGGGGGAAAATCATCGAATAACTGCTCCCGCCTGGATGAGGCGGAAGGGAGTGTCAGACTCTTACTGACTTAAAACCACCCCGTTCCTTCTCCTGCACGTCGAGTCGGAGCCCTGGTTACCCGTTAGGTTCTCCGCGACATATATGTATGTTTACTTAGATATTAAATTTATAGTCCTTTTACAGTCAACAATTTGTATTTTTTCTTTGTGATTTTGTTATGTGTAATGAAGAAACCTGTCCTGATGGTTTAGGTAAGGTTAAATAAATAAATACATAAATATAATTTATAACCACCTCTATTTAAATATCACCTTAAAGTTTTTAATCTCGGCAATCGCTAACTCCTTATTGGTGCTGATAAACATTGTTACCAAATCGGCCATAATATATTACATATCTATCTCTCGTCATATATCTTTAGTCATCTAAGAGCTTATCAAGAGCCATGCTTCGGCACGAATGGGCCGGCTCGACCGGAATAGTACCACGGCTTCGCAGAAAACCGACGTGAAGCAACGCTTGCGTTGTGTTTCGTCGTGTGAGTGAGATAGGTGGAAGCCCAATTCTCCCCCCCCCCCCCCAATACAATAGGCTATATGTAAGTCCGTATGACCAAAAATAGTTATTGTTTGCTTTTTAGTTTTTACAATTCGTTTGTTTTTGTTTTTGAAGTCGGTTTTTTTAAACGCAGTTTTTTATTATTATTTTATACTTCCCTCAACTATGGTACTACTTCATCATCAGACCCTTATTGACAATCACATACCACCTAGCTATAAAGTCCTCATCAATACAAATTAATCAAACCCAAACACAATGTAGCTACTGTTAACCGTTGAGGAGTTCCCTTGACTGCCTATCGAGTCCATCATCAGATCAGTTCCAGACCATTATCAGATTGTAGAGGTTTTAAATACTTAACGAAAAAATTAACAAATGCACTAGTCACCCCTATAATTTTTAAAAGTTCTCCTCGATTTCCCTTAGATTCCATCATCAGATCCTGACTTCATGACAATGGGGCCAAATGACAAACCTACCCTTTCAAACAAATAAAGAATTTTCGAAATCGGTCCAGGCGTCGTCTAGTAATCGAGTAACAAACATAAAAAAAGACATACAGTCCGATTGAGAACCTCCTCCTTTTTTTTTGCGGAGAACCTAACGGGCAACCGGGGCTCCGGCTCGACGTGCAGGAGAAGGAACGGGGTGGTTTTTAGTCAGTAAGAGTCTGACACTCTCTTCCGCCTCACCCAGACGGGAGCAGCCATTCGATCATTTTCCCCCCTTAAAAAAAACTCCTTTTTTTTGAAGTCGGTTGAAAAGAGTCGTAGTCATAGCGAAGTTACATCGTGATGTAGCTGTACAATTATATAACTCAGTCAAGTCAAGTTTTCAGTGGCTGGAATAATTAAGGAATAGAGCTCCAGTACAAACAAATAGCGCAACTGGTTTCCTTCACGATTCACGATTATCCTTACTAATATTATAAATCAGAAAGTGAGTTTGTTTGTTTGTTTGTTCCACTTTCACGCCGTAACTACTAAACCGATTGCTTTGAATTTTTTGCAGACGTAAAGTTAGAAGTCTAGATTAAATAATAGGGTACTATTTATCCCGGAAAAATTTGATATTCTCGAGGGAAAACAAAATTATTGGTATATGTCACATAGGCTACTTTTTATCCTTTTGCAACGCGAGCGAAGTCGCGGGTAAAAGCTAGTTGTTTAATAAAAATGATATATTTATTTTAGACTCCGTATTGATCAGACACTATTGGATAACCGCACCAGTTATTGTGTTGCAATATTGGCATTATCCATCAATGGCAGGTGGCGAGCTGTCGTTCGACGTGAAGGACTAAGGGGGAGGCCTTTGTCCATCAGTGGACGTGTTCCAGCTGTTGATGATGATGATATTTGCCAAAATAAAACTACAATGTTACCGGCCACTATTGCAGTTACATATTGCACAAAAATTTCGCCCGTCTAGAAGCACTTGACAAGCAATCGATGTTTTTCAATTACCAAAAAAACATCTTACTCGTATATATGTTTGTTAGACAATCATTGTTATAGCTATAATAAACCGAATGATGTAATGTTAAATTAGAAAAGATAATATTTTAAAGCATTTTTCCAGTTTTATCTGTAAATAATTGCCATTGTGTAATTGTATTCTATAAACAAAGTAACATTTTATAGCTAATCTATCTATTCCTAGATAAATAATGATTAGCCACTGAAAATTATGTAAATAGGCTACTACACATATAAAGGAGGTTCCCAGTTGACCTGTATGTAATTAATTATGATTGTTTATCCATGATTATCTCGCAATAAGGATGATGATAGGGTATGAAAATTAAAAATCTATTTACTTCTTCAGTTAGGCAATGAAAAAATATTAGACACGTATTTTTTATTTTGTCGTATAAGAAAACAATACATACTTTGAGTATGAATCGTACTCAAAAGTGACGTCATGCGATATTACAAATCAATATATCATCGAAACTATTCGTTTCCGTAAGAAAATAAAAAATACGTGTCTAATGTTTTTAAATAATCTACCAGACGGACATTGAAATAAATATTAGTCATCTACCCTCGATCCGGTTTGTAAAAAAGTATTTTTTACACATTTTTTTAAGGGGAGAAAATCATCCAATTACTGCTCCCGCCTAGGTGAGGCGGGAGGGATTGTCAGACTCTTACTGACTAAAAACCACCCCGTTCCTACTCCTGCGCTTCGAGCCAGAGCCCCGGTAACCCGTTAGGTTCTCCGCCACATTTCTTACACATAGAAGTAACTAGGTTTTAGTGTATTAAACAACTTTATTGTCAATTGACTTCGAGGTTGAAGTAGGTTTTTTTGAAATGTGGTTTATTGAAAATTTGTCATTATGCCGATATTTCTGGGACAAAATTTATAAGACAGAAAAATTCGACAGAAAATATCTGGTGGTGAATTACTGGTTTACGATGGAAAAGCTCATAAAATTACACCAATTTAGATTTAATCAATTTATTCAAGCATTCTCGACTTTATTACAAAATGCTTAAAGTCGAGGAAGAAGAAAGACAAATTAGAAAAACTTCATGTGTTATCTATGACGCAAGCTAATCACTAGTCACTACATAAAATAGATACGCTTGAAACTCTGTTTCTATTCCTAAAATATGAAGGACAATACCCAAAAATGGATAGACATCCATCCTCACCTTTGTACTTAACAGGTTTGTTTTATGCCATTTGACAACCGAAGGGCTTCACCTACCTTATCATTTAATTATATGACAACGAAACTAAAATATTAACCCTTTGAGTACCGTCATTATAGACACAATTAAAGAACAATAGGACACACACGCAGAATTAATTATATGAAAATGTTTCACACCGTCACTCACTCTCAGTTCAAGACACACCACTTATTTACAAAAAAGTTTCTTTTGCACTTAAACCGTCAAAGCTTTTTAAATTGCATTGCATTAAACTGCATCGAATTCATAATTTTCGCGCAAAACAAATGATAGTTACCTGACAGGAGAGCGAAGACCACCCCAAGCACACACAACCGAAGCATTTTGACAACGAATGGCGACTGATCATATATCAAGAACCGCCAACGATCGAGCTATCAGATTTGCCTAAAATGACCAATACTCGACACAACATTTCGCGAGACAATCGAATCGATATTAGCAATTAAAACACAATAGATTTGCTTATCGTGGTAATCTCTTTGTCTTCAAGATTTACTTTTGTACATCTCCAATGAAAATTACGTCAGTTTTCTAATATGAGTGGTACTTGAATGAGTATTATATTTTTTCTATTAGTTAGCTATTCAATTCTTAATTATTTCAAACACTGGATCTGCTTGAGCACCTGAGGTTACGGCGGAGGCTTAGATGGTATCAGATTAAAATCTGCACCTGGGCTAATGTTTCATCTGAATTATTATTAAAAGAATTTCAAATTTCAGGATAACAACAATCGTAACTACTATTGCACCGTGGTTGAGAAATTGATTGTTACCTATACGGCGTGGTACGGTTTGGATCGTCGTACGAAACGACTCTTTGTGTTCATATATTGCTATCCCGGATCTGAATGTGATAATGATAAGTGTTTGTAAACACATCCACAAATGACCAAAATCCTAGTTTGGTTTAATAAAATCATTAAGTTTGCCTGCATCATTAATTTTTTTAGAAGTGTCGCAAGCTTGATTATTATTATCAATGCCGAACAAAGCTACGGGTTTATTTCAGTGACAATCAGTCATTGTTTTAGTCGCAAGGTTTTTGATAGTAGCACATAATCTGAAATTACGTTCCGAGCAAGGCAATGTCCTTGTTCTTTGAGAATAATATGCGAGTCTTGACAGCTGAAAAGCGCTATTTTCTTTGTTTAATGGTTCAATATAAAAAGGGAATATAAATAATGTCGTTTTAGTACGAAAACCATAGAAAAAAGAATAGTATTTCTCTTTTCAGTAACGATAACGATAGCCAACTTTACCGTCAACTAATTGTCTTCTAAGACAATGGAAAAATCATACTTACGGATAAAGCAATAGCTTTGAATAATTATTTATTGCATTTATAAGTAAAATTATCATTTCATACGATTCCACTGTATTTTCCTCGAGTGATAGGGCTGTACCTATAGGTGTTTTTTGTTGGTTATTCTAGTTATAACTTCATTGTATTTCTATATAATGATTTTTTATTTACGGGCTAATTAAATATCTTTAAAAACTGGAGGGCCAGAAATTAATTTCCTGGCCCTCCAGCTTTAGAAAGTTGTACCTCTATAATGACGTTTAACATTGTATTTTTTACTCACAGACAAAACTTGTATACAGATCATACACTGAATTTTATTATTGTTGTTGCACATAAGATGAAGATGTTGAGATTAAAATATGTGTCGCGGGGCACATGAAAACAATCCGCGGGCCGCATGCGTGTCTGGTCTCTGATGGCTGTAAGCGGTGACGTTTTTGGAAATTCGGTCTCAATTTATTAGTCGTCATTGTTACCATTAATGGAATGTGAAGTATAATGCTAAATAACAGACCCCTAAGGAACTGGCCGGCCTTTTTACAGGCATTTTCTCTCTCCTACAGGGTCTCGTTTACATCCCGTGAGATTGGCTGACATAGGAACTAAAAAATACCAAAGAGTACTTGTCATTTGCACAACCCAATCACACTTAAATTATAAATGTGTTATAAATCCTTGTTTGGGTTTGTCCGTCAATTACACTGGAACTACTGAACGGATTCTAACTCTGACGCCCACTCTCAATTTTGGCTCGTATATCGATACAAAGGCGCAACTGGCTGCTAGAAAGTTGGGTGTCCTGTCGAGGGTGAGACTTCACGCCGGAGCTGTTGCTCACTCTTTACCAAACACAAGTTCGGTCTTGTATGGAGTACTGCTCCCATCTTTGGGACGGCTCAGCGAAATACCAGTTGGAAGCTCTCGAATCCATCGAGAGGCGTGCCAAGAAGCTCATCAATGACAATTCGCTTGTGGAGGCTCGGCTACAAAGCCTCGAACACAGGCGCAAAATCGCAAGCCTTTCGGTCTTCTATCGGATACATTTCGGTGAGTGTGCGTGGGAATTGCACAAACTTATTCCCCCTAGTCCATTTCACCACCGTACCACCAGACGAACGGCGGGACGCCACCCTTATATGGTGGACATTCCACCCATTCGAACGAAGCGTTTCGCGTCAAGCTTCCTCATGCAAACCGCTAAGGAATGGAATTCCTTGCCAGAGGCTGTGTTTCCCGTCAAATATGACTTGGGTGTCTTCAAGTCCCGAGTGAACAGGTTGCTCATAGGTAGGCGTGCTCCATCGTCGGCCACATCATCGCTTACCATCAGGCGAGATGGTGGTCAAACGTCGACCTATAAAGTATAAAAAAAAGGATTTCGATGAAATTTGGCATATAGGCAGGGTATGGACTGACTTGAGTGATAGGATTTATTCCGTTTAAATGCTCTCATGGGATGAAACAGGAATCATATTCTACGTGAAGTCGTCCAACAAATGGACTGTCTTTTGTCCATTTCGAACTTTTAAGCCTTCTTAGAATTTCTAAGCTACTGTTGTAGCGATGTTTATCAAAAATCAAATTAACATACTTATTTCTTTTTACATAAAAGAGGAAATCTTTCGTGATAAGATTTAATCTATTGATAAGCCTGGATAGAATTAGCATTTAATTTGATATGTAAAAATATCGTCACGTAGCTAGCGATAAAGAACAGATTATGTAAATTATAGGTGATAATCAGGTATCAAGATTTGATTCTCGACATGTACATACATTGCATGCCTACTAAGCTAATTCATAATGTTGCATTTTGTGACGGTCAAATTAGTCATCAAGGTTACTAAAAGTCACATTGGGTGGGGGTATCTTCACCACAAGTCCTGTATCCGTGTTTGACTTTGCTCTTTTACTTCTTGTAGCAGTCTAAATACAAAATCAAAAGTACTTACTCTTAACCGACGGGCATATATAAACAGATTGATGAGGGAAAGAGGTATACAAAGTTAAATCTATTTCGTTTTAGTCCCGAATTTAAATATCTCTGTCTTGGTAATACAATAGTTTTACACAGACATAAAACAATAAAATAAATAGTTCAAAAGCGTAGTATTTGTATTATAACTTTCATGAAACATACTAAATAAATTATTATGTTTTTGGCTTGTCGCGCTGCTACTGAGTCGTCAGTAGCAGCGCGTCAGTCGCTGCGTCGCGGGTCGCGAATTGCTGCTCATAAATATGAGCCTCTAGCATGCCTTCAAACTATTTGAGTTCCTCGTCAAATAATTACGTGAGTAAGCCGAAAACATAATAATGAAGTAATATAACATAACATCACGCCTTTTTATCCCCGAAGGGGAAGGCAGAGGTGCATATTTCGGCACTTAAGGCCACTGTACAATGTAACACCCACTTTTCATTATTTATGTTATGAGTCCCATGTAATAGGGGGTGAGCCTACTGCCATTTAAGTAAATATAAATGACGTCATTATTTTTTTTTACTTTATACATCGAAAGTACTCCGTATGGCAAGTTTTGCCGCGGGACGAAAACGAAATAGATTTCACATTGTACCCCCCTATGAATCCTTAATAGGGGTAAAGACGATAGGGTACGAAAATTAAAAATCTATTTAGTCCATCAGGTAGGTAATTAAACATATTAGACACGTATTTTTCTTATTTTGTCATATTAGAAAACAATACTTAGATAAAACGAATCAAAGTTTAGGAGAGGGAGCTAGCTGCGTCATTTCTAAGTACCTATAAAACGTACATAGAAGTGACGTCACGCGATATTTCATATCAATATAACGTCAAAAGTATTTGTTTCCGTAAGGGCTGACTTTTCAATACTCAGTTAAATTTTATCAAAGGAATAACTTTGAATTTGAGACAAATTCTTCCATACTACACACATTCCGAAGTGTGGGAGAGCCATGCTTCGGCACGAATGGGCCGGCTCAACCGGAGTGATACTACCGCCTCACAGAAAACCGACGTGAAGCAACGGTTGCGTTGTGTTTCGTCGTGTGAGTCCTCACTCAAAAGGTAATTGGGCCTCCGGATAACCTCGTTATCCGGAGGCCCAATTACCCTCCCCTTTCCCAATCTCCCCAATTCTTGAATCCCCAACGATCCTCAAATTCCTAAGGCCGGTAATGCACTTGTAACGCCTCTGGTGTTCCAAGTATCCATGGGCTTGCTTACCATCAGGTGATCCGTCTGCTCGTTTACCAGCTTATGCCATAAAAAAATACTGAAAATTAAAGATTAAATAAAATAAATGCTTGACTTTGACTGACACCATAGTAAAGTACCAATATGTCGCTGTCACTACACCGCCCCTGGCAAAAAACGTCTGCCCTTGTCCGATATCAGTATTATTTACGAACGTTTCTACTAAGCTTATAATTACAAGTTTTATCGCCATATTCAGACGCAGGGGTGCGGTGCCAGAAGACCTCCCCGTGGTGCACCCTGGGTGCGGGCGACAGTCTCCCTAGCGGGGGTGATAGGGTTGGAGTGACTGTCGCCCGCAGCAGACTTCTGGACTGGGCGGGCGAACCCGATAGGGTTCTGGAGGCGGCGGGCTGTGTGCGGAGGCTCATAGCCCGCGCTTCCGAGGGGTGTTTCTCCGCCCGTCTCTCTGGACATAGCAGAGAGCGTGGCGGAGAGGCAAAGGCGGTGCTCGTTGTGCACTCACCCTGCCAGCGAGCAGCATCGGGACACAAGCTGTCCCCGATTGCAGCCGTCGATATCGTAATCCGTAAGGAGATCACGGTCATGTTTTGTGACTCTGAACGGGACGAGGGTCTTGGCTTGGTCGCCCGGACCGCGAGGAAGATAACCTCTATAAAAAATTCCTCCAATACTAAGTTCTGGTGCGCGGCGAGAGTATGCATGGCTGAGGAGTAGTGTCAGTCGCGAGCGCACCCCCAGCTAGGGGACCAGTGGAACCTCTAGTTGGGAAACAAATTAACACTTACCCAGGTACAGGGGGCACTG